GAAGTTAAATTGTGAGCTTAAAGAATATACACAGTTTTTAAATTTTTTAATAATTGCTTCTCATTTTCCCTCTATTAAAAAAAGGTTGTAATCAGTTTTCAATCTTTCTGATAGTGTATAAAGATAGCCATTTCCCTACACCATTATTTACACCAAGTATAAATCAGTCTTTAAGCCTTGCCAATGTCACTCTGTTGCAAAATTATGTCATACTAATTTGAGTTTCATAGTAAGTGGCATTTAACACTATTTTATATGTTTACTTGCCTTTTGTATTTTCCATTCATCTTTTTCTTTTTTCTTTGTTCTGTTAGGTTGTTTTGCTTATGTTTTTGCCATTAAACTTGGTTTACTCTGGTACATTTCCTCTCTCTAGGCTGCAACCAGATATTGTCCTAGTGAATAGTATACATCTGGGCCACTGCTATTCTATGCCTAGAAAGTTTCTAGCTCTGATATAAGCATCTTCATGCTTATTCTTGTTCACATTTCTTTGTTTGCTCATCTGCTAGTAAAAATAACCATAAGAAGCATGTGGCAGGTGTTGGCTGTGTGCTAGGCACTGTGCTGTTAACTTTATTTTTATTATCTCCATGTATCACGAAGTTCTAGTTTGTCTCCATGTATATAATTTATGTGTGTGAAGAAACTGATAATGGGAGATTAAGTGACTTACCCAGGGTCACACAGCTAGTAAATTGCAAAGCCAGCATCTGAGCCCAGGAAGAGTGGCTCTAGAACCTGCTCTTCCAACTGCTAAATGCTGTGACCACCAGTAAGGGTAATGGGTTATAGTGCCCACTATATGTTTTGAAAAGGTCTTTCTGGGAGTGTTTTCTTTACTTGTAAACTTGCTCCCATTGCATGCATGGTTAGTCATCCATTCTATTTCCCCTCCCTTCTATTTTTCATTAGTTTAGTGCTCATTAGATTGGTATTCATTAGTGTGTGTGTGTGTGTGTGTGTGTGTGTGTGTGTGTGTGTGTGTGTAGCATAAAACACAGAAATCCCTGCCTCAGGAAGTTTACCGTGTAGTTGTATACTGTGTAGTTGTATACTGAGAGCAGAAGTGCTTTCATGACTGATGCAGGCTTCAATACCAAGCATGTTCAGCCAGCTGAAGGTAGTAAATATATACCTTGATCTTTGGGCCCAAGAGGAAGTTTGCTGAATTATAAATCTCTAGAATATAAGAACTATGTCTTACTTAATATTCTTACTTTGAACAAATGACTCTATAATGGTTTTAAATATAGAACTCAAAACAATTTCATTTTTTTCCATGAATGGAAGGTTGGTTTTTTTTTTCCATTTTAAAAGGCACTTCAATTTCTTCTTCCTCTCCTTCTACTCCTTCTTCTTCTTCTTTTTTTCTGGTCAGTTGAGAGGCTTGAGCTCTGCGCCTGTGCACTCTCCCTCAGCTCTTCAGCTCAAGGCTAGCATTCTGTCACTTGAGCCACAGCACCACTTCCCATTTATTGGAGATAAGAATCTCACACTTTCCTGCTCAGGCTGGCTTTGAACCACAATTCTCAGATCTCAGCCTCTTGAGTAACTAGGATTACCGGCATAAGCCACCAATGCCTGGCTTGCATTTTAATTTCTTATATACCAAATAACATTTTCCTGAGTCATCTTATAAAAACAAAAGCCAGATTTACAAAGAAAAATTGGTTGACCAGTAGACTGATGATGCATCAATGACAAAAGAATGTTTATAAACCAGGCGCTGATGTCTCATGGCTGTAATCCTGGCTACTCAGGAGGCTGAGATCTGAGGATCGTGGTTCAAAGCCAGACTAGGCAGAAAAGTCTGTGAGACTCTTATCTACAAGTAACCAGCAGAAAACAGGAAGTGGCACTGTGGCTCAAAGTGGTAGAGTTCTAGCCTTGAGCAAAAAGTGCTTAGGGACAGCGCCCAAGCCCTGAGTTCAAGCCCTATGACTGACAAAAAAAAAAAGTTTGTATACTGTAAAGCTTTATGACATTGTTAGCAACAAAATTTAAATTCATTGAATAAAACCTCCAAATTAGTAGGTACTTAAGATAATGCTCCCAGTCAGGTGAGAAAGTGTCAAGTCACCAGCACCAAAGAGCATAGCAACAATAAGGCCCTCCTGAAGGGAAGATTTTTTTACAACACTTTTAGTTTTAGATTTAATCTTTCCCTAAGGTGGCAAATCAGGTGAATTGGATTGGATTGGATTGAAATAAAATTTGTATGTGCCTAATATAGACCTGAATAGGGTTTGTTTGGGTGGAGTCATCTTTGATCTTACTGAGTCTTTTTCCTCCATATACTCCTCCCCATGGGCAGAAAGAAGAAACAAATTTATCTTAACTACAGTACTTAGAGCTGTGTGCAAGCTACCCTCTTGATTTCCATATATTAAAACATTCTATTCAAAGATGTATTTGTTTAGAACCCTCCAACAGTTTCAGACATTCGAAGAACCTGTGGAGGCAGTATAGCACAGTGGCTAAGAGCAGATTCTGGAGCTGACTTGCTGGTGTAGAAATTCTGAGCTTGCCATTTTCTTGATGTGGCAAGTTAGTGGACTTATTTTGTTTTTTTTTTAATATTTGTTATTGTACAGATACTATACAGAGGGGTTACAGTTACATGAGAAAGGTAATGAGTCCATTTCCTATCAAGCATTGTTACCCTCTCCTTTGTTTTTCCCCTACCATCCCTTTCCTCCCCACCTCCCCAACTCCTCCCTCCCCCCCCACCCCTCTCCCCACCCCCCTTCCCCGGCCCAGCAAAGTTGTAAAGTTCATTTTCAACATAGTGTCCTGTACATCTCATTGTTACAATGGGTTATCCTGTATCCTTATTTTAGCATTTTGTTATTTCCTTTCCCCTCCCCAAATTAGAAAAATATATATACAAGATGCAGGACACAGGAATCAAATACAGTGACGACAGGGGTTGTACCATGGGAAAAGAACATACAAAGAAACAAACAAAAAAACCACATAGTACATTAAAAAGAACAACAAGAAAGATTAAAATCTTTTGTGTCTCTATCTTGGGGTTCATTTTGCTTAGCATCAGGTTATATGGTCATATGTACATAGCTTTTGACCTCTTGTGCTTGTTCTAGGCATATACTAGTTACTGCAGATAAGAGAAACCATGGGACCTATATTTCTTTGAGTCTAGCTTACTTCATTTAATATAATATTTTCCTGCAAATGGGGCAGTGTCATTCTTTCTGATGGAGGCATAGAATTCCATTATATATATATCGCACATTTTCTTGATCCGTTCATCTGCTGAGGGGCATCTGGGTTGATTCCATATCTTAGCTATGATGAATAATGCTGCGATAAATATAGTTGTGCTGGTAGCTTTCGTATGGACTTGTTTGTGATTATTTGGGTAAATGCCTAAAAGTGGGATTGCTGGGTCATAGGGGAGCTCAAACTGCAGAGCTTCTGCATGGCAAAGGACATAGCAAGTAAGATCAATAGAAAGCCCACGGATCTTCACTAGCCATACAATGGACAAGGGTCTCATATCTAAAATATGCTTGGAACTCAAAAAATTAAATCCCCCAACAACAAATCCTCAAAGAAACAACTGCCCCATTAATAAGTGGGCTAAAGACTTAAAGAGAGACTTCTCTGTAGAATGGCCAATAGACACATAAAGAAATGCTCAACTTCTCTAGCCATAAAAGAAATACAAATCAAAACAACATTGAGATTCTACCTCATCCCAGTTAGAATGGCTATAATCAAAATATCTAATAAAAACAGATGCTGGAGGGAATATGGCTAAAAGGGAACCCTACTGCATTGTTGGTGGGAATGTAAATGTGTTCAACCACTTTGGAAAGCAATATGGAGGTTCCTAAAAAGACTACACATAGAGCTTCTCTTATTGTTTTTTTTTTTATTGTCATTAAGTAGATGTCATAAATCTTAAGAGGCCTGGGAATTGATTTCGTTTTTTTCCCCCACTGAGCTTTTTAGCCAAGGACAGAAACTGAAAGAGAAAATCCACCATCTGATATTTATGCCCTTTTTATCAAATATCATAATGCATATAATAAATAATGTATGTTATGTACATAATACAGTCCTGTAACTGTAACACATGCACTAAGTGTATCTCTGTTTGGTATGATACAAAGGAATATTTTTTAATAAATAATGTATGTTATGTACATAATACAGTCCTGTAACTGTAACACATGCGCTAAGTGTATCTCTGTTTGGTATGATACAAAGGAATATTTTTTTTCTTTAAAAGAATATAATCCCCTGCTGGTACCTGCTGGTACCTGCTGGTACCTCCTGCCTATAATCCTAGCTACTCAGGAGGCTAAGATCTGAGGATAACCATTCAAAACCAGCCTGGGCAGCAATACCATGAGACTCCTATCTCTTAACTACCAAAAAGCCAGAAGTAGAGCTTTGGATTATGTAGTAGAGCATTTGCCTTGAGCATAAAAGCTCAGGGACAGTACCCAGGGCCTCAATTCAAGTCCCAGAACTGGCACAAAAATGAAAAATAAGATAAAAGTTACAGAGATAACAGTCATAACAGTAATAATGTACATGGTTTTTGGTTAACCTTCTGTTAACCCAAGCTGCCAAACTGTCCTTTTAAGAACATTTTTTTACAGAGGCCCTTTCCTTGGAAAGCCTGTCATATCATTCACACACACACACACACACACACAATCTCTTTCTTTGCAGGTACATTTTGGGTACAGAATAGGCTTTGCTTGTTTATCTGTCTGGTTTAGGATTTTGTTTGACCATTTTCTTTCATTTAAAGGTCTGGTGCTTGCTGCTGCACATCTGGTTTGGAAGAAGGCAATATTGTTTGCTAATTCCAGGGATAGAATTAGTAGGCAACATGGCCTGTCTAAATGTCCTTGTTGTCTCTTCTCTACCTCTAGAAACTCTTCATGCACATTGCCTTATGGTCTCATGGACATTTGGTCATTCGCTCCATATATAATCATTCTGATCTGTTTTCTTAGGCTCTTCATTGAGAAATTACCAAAGCATCGAGATTACAAATCATCTGTCATTCCAGAAAAGAAAGACACAGTAAAGGTGGGTCTTCATTTTCATTATTGTCTATCTACAAGCTTCAGAGCAGCATAGACAGACATAAGATCAAAGTTATAGTCTCTGCTGGGTACTAGTGGCTCACACCTGTAATCCTAGCTACTCAGGAGACTGAGATCTGAGAATCACCATTCAAAGCCAGCCCAGACAGGAAAGTCTGTGAGACTCTTTATTTCCAATTAACCACCAAAAAACCAGTAGTGGTGGTGTGGCTCAAAGTGGTAGAACACTAACCTTGAGCAAAAGAGCTCAGGGACAACACCCAAGCTGTGAGTTCAAGCCTCAAGACTGACCAAAAAAAAAAAAAAAAAGTTCTAGTCTCTGAATCAGAGCAGAAATGGAGCCCTGGAGATGGAAGTAAGGCCATCTCTCTTTTTCTTCAGTGCAGATATGAAATAGCAAGAATGGCTGGGTAATAGGTAATTCAAGTTATTTTTTAAACATGGTTGACAGTGTCAACTTATGTCTTGTTTTTGTTTAGTGAATTATATGGCATTAGAATTGTCCTGATTCTCAGTTTCTGTTTTATATCTCAGAAATTAAAGGAGATTGCATTTCCAAAAGCAGAAGAGCTCAAGGCAGAGTTGTTAAAACGATATACCAAAGAATATGCACAATATAATGAAGAAAAGGTCAGTATATAATAGCAGAGGAAAATACTTTGGTATCTTATGCTATGCTCCGGGAATGCACTGTTATTTTAACAGATTCTGTGTTAAATATGTTAATATGACAGTTAACATCTAGAACAGTGGTTAATCTGAGGATTCTAATACATATTTGGTTTAATTGTCCAAGGTGACTTGAGGGAAAGGAAATTTATTGCCTGTATGCTATATCTAGAGCAAAAACCTGAAATGAAAATGCTCGCCAAAATATTTTTTTGGGGACTATAGATTTTAGAGGCTTGGGTTACATTTGATTATATCTAAAGTTGTTTGTAGTAGTTGATTTTTCCACCTATCTTCAATTGAGTCTTGTTAAGGGGATTTAGTTAAAGCATGTGAAGAAATGCCCAGGACATCGCAGTGGTCCCTTGTCAGACATCAGTTCACACTGCAAGCTTTACATGTCATTTTGTAGCTGTCTGCTGGGTTCTGTTTTGCAGTCTGGTGTTGAAAATCAGCAGAGGATGAATAGCTATAAAGCATACATTTCTAAGGAGCTGAGTGAGTGAAAATTTCTTTTATTAGAGTTTTTCACTTGATGTTTCTTGTTAGTTTAAATGTCACTGTGTTGAACTGATCATAGAAAAATTTTCAAGGATTCATTCTGGGTTAAAATCTACAAGAGTTCCTGGACGTAGCAGGTATAGATTTGGATTTGGTTCTATTTCTATTTTATTTTACCTGGGATATATACATTTGTACAGTTTAAGAGTAGAACTGTGTATGATAGAGGTCACAGGGTACAGAAAAATAAGATGCATCAAGATTTCAATAAAGAAAAACATGCTGGGCTGGGAAGGTGGCTCAGTGGTAGAGTGCTTGCTTTGCATGCATGAAGCCCTGGGTTCGATTCCTCAGCACCACATAAGCAGAAAAAGCCAGAAATGGCACTGTGTCTCAAGTGGAAGAGCACTAGCCTTGAGCTGAAGAGCTGAGGGACAGCGCCCAGGCTCCAGGACCAACAACAACAACAAATATGCTTTAGGATACTGAGGCACTGAGCGAACTGGGACTTTATCCTTGAAGATAGGTACTCTGTGGCTCAGTAGAAAAGTGTAGTGACTATAGTCCATGGGTACTGATGTATCAAAGGAAGCACAAATTATTTATTGGGAAATCAGACCACAGCAGAAGTACATTTGGGAATTCTCCTTGCTGAAGATCCTTGTTCTTCTGAGGTGTAAATTGTTCTGTCTTTGCAGAAAAAAGAAGCAGAGGAATTTGCCCAGAATATAGCCATGCAGCAAGAGCTGGAAAAGGAAAGACAAAGGGTAGCACAACAGAAACAGCAACAATTGGAACAGGAACAGTTTCATGCCTTCGAGGAAATGATCCGGAACCAGGAGCTAGAAAAAGAGAGACTAAAAATTGTACAAGAATTTGGGAAGGTGGACCCTGGCCTTGGTGGCCCGCTGGTACCAGACTTGGAAAAGCCCTCCTTGGATGTGTGCCCACCCTCACCTGTCTCATCTACACAACCTTCAGGCTGTAACACAACTGGAAGGCCAATGCAGCCACCAGTGGTGGACAGGTCCTTGAAACCTGGAGCACTGAGCTACTCGGAAAGTAGTGAGTCCATTGCTGTCCCCTTCCACCTCTTTTGCGGCCATTCAGGGCATCATTCTGGGGATTCAGATTAAGAGTATCCCCACAATCCCACTTACTAGGTTTTGGTCACAGAGCCCTATTTGATAAATACTGTCATACTGTGTCTTGTCACATTGGCTATCCTGTAAAAGTGGTATTTACTTACACAATTTATCTCAACCCTGGTTAATTTTCTGAAGAGTCAACAGTGTGCTTTAAAGTCAGACTCTCAATCTTTAAGGATTCTATAATATTTGAAATGTTCTGTGAATTAGAGACTGCAGTTGGCTTTTTGTAAAAGGAATTTTGAAATGTATAGAACCACTGTGAACTTCAATGACCAACTTTAAAAATAAAAATAAAGCAGGCTATTCTGCCCCAAAGCATTCCCAATCTTTAAAGTTTGGTAAAGATAAACACTGTATATACAGGGTGATAATACAGTTCACCCAGAAGAATTACTGACAGTCTTTTCTCCTTGCATCAACCATTTGTGTCAAGAAAATAACAATGGAGCTGGGCACTGGTGGCTTATGCCTGTAATCTTAGCTGGTCAGGAGGCTGAGAACTTAGGATCACAATTCAAAGCCAGCTCAGGCAGGAAAGTCCATAAGACTTATCTCCAATTAACTACCAGAAAACTGGAAGTGGAGCTGTGGCTCAAAGTAGTAGCCTTGAGTGCAAAAGTTCAGGAACAGCACCTAAGCCCTGAGTTCAAGCCCCACAACTGACAAAAAAAAAAAAAAGAGGAAAAGAATGGGGTAAAGATAAGTATACCTAGATGCTAGAGTGAATTTTAGAGTTGGAATCAACTGTCAAGCAATCATTTAGAGAAATAAGCTTTATAGAAACTCCTTGTACAAGTACAGTATAAGAAAGGAAGGAGGGCTAGGCTTTGTGCTTGGCCTTTAAAACCTTCCTTGCCACCTTTACTCGAAAGACTTCTCTCTACCTACTGTTCGTACCATAAGTCTGTTCTGAGGAGGCTGGATGCACATGTTCTAGGACATTCCCTAGACTCTTGTTTACATTGCCCTTCTCTGTCTGCCTTCCCTACTTTTCTTGAAGTTTTTCTAGTTCTCCCTCACTCAGATTGATTCTATTATCTGTAAAACTCCCAGAGCTCTCTTTATCACTAATACAATTTAGATCATTTATTTGATAATACACAGTCATTTGTCAATATCTAGATTTTTTAATGTCTTACATTTTAGGGTTGGAGTCATACTCATTTTTGTGGTCCCTGTGGAATGAGCACAGTGTCCACTTACATGTACTTAGTACATGATTATTGAATTAAAGGAAATGACTGTGCCAAACTTTATCATCCTTAGATACCATCATCAGACTGCCATGTGACTGTGTCTCCTGGTCTGACTTTGTTACTTCTGTGGCAGTTCCGGCTTTGCTGTCAAATGTGTAAAGATGCTTCCTACCCTTAGCTTGCTGACTCTCAAAGGACTTTTCCATTGTGTTCAGGTACTGGGTCCATTCTTGGCATCCTGAAGCAGATTTTATGAACTGCTTTGTTAGTGTCTTCTTGAAAGACCAGATGTTGTTGTTGTTACTTGGGTTCTTTTGTCATTTAAACTTTCTTCTAAAAGCCTAAGTAAATCCAGAAGTAACTTATTTTCCATTATCAAGAATACATCCTGAGAGTCATACTCCTTTGATACTCATAAATAAGATAAAGGAGATATGTTAAAAAAAAAAAAAGTTCATTCAAATGGGGAATTTATTTGTTCAACTTTTTGTTAATTCTACCATAGAATTCTCAAATATCTCAAGGACTTTTTAAAAGTAGTAGTTTACCCTTGTTCAATGATTTTGTCCGTGTATGTGCTAGTAATGGAGCTTGGCTTTTTTAACAAAGCTCACACTCTACCACTTGAGCTATAGCTCTACTTGTGTGTTTGTTTGTTTTTTTTGTAGGTTGTAGGGCCCAAACTCAGAGCTTGGGCACTGTCCCTAAGCTTTTCCACTCAAGGCTAGTGCTCTACCACTTGTACCCACAGTCTCACTTCCAGTTTTCTTTTGATTAATTGGAGATGAGTCTCTCAAACTTTCCTGCGAAAGCTGGCCTTGAACCATTATCCTCAGATTTCAGCCTCCTGAGTAGCTAAGATTACAGACATGAGCCACCCGCAACTGGCACTTCTAATTTTTTTGCTAGTTAATTGGACATAAGAGTCTCACAAACTTTTCTGCCTAAGCTGGCTTTGAACTGTGATCCTTAGATCTTAGCCTTTTGATTAGCTAGGATTACAGGCATGAACAACTGATGCCCGACTTTGTGTGAATGATTAAAGCCTGGTTTTTTTTTTCTTTAAGTATTAATAGCATCAACTCAATTCAACTCTAATTTAAAAGTTGCATCTAAATCAAATACAAGTGCAACTCAAGGCACAATTTACCTGTGTCCCACTGTAAGCCTATAAAATTAACACATGATATACTTCCAAAATACAGTGGTTAGAAAGATTCAGGATAATCAGCCCCACTCTAAAAAGGAAAAAATAGGCAAAAAGAAAGGAATGGCTGATCCTAAGTAAGTCTAAAACCCAATGAAGAAAATGACCTTAGGTCTGAAGTTGAATAATCTCCTTTGATGCCCAGGCCTATATCCTGAGCACAGTGGTCAGGTGTTTGACCTCCATGTCTCAGGCAGCCTATCCCTGGTGGGCCCAGCCCACCCAGCAGCTCTTAGGGTAGAGTCTCCTGCCCATAGCTTTCCTTGGCTGAAGCAATATGCTGATGACTCTATAGTTCTAGGGTCTCAAGAGGCCACTCCTTTCCCATAAGTCCAAAAAGCATTGCTTGAATGAAGACTTTATTTGATAGTTCTGCCCCTGTGACCTGAGCCTGCAGCCTCTCTACAACATCCTTTGAAGTCCAGGTAGAGGCCACTATTTTCCTATAGCTTTTAGAGGGACTGGCTTGTATAAATATAAAAGTTGAGACATTCTATAACAGGCTTTCTGCAAGGTGATAGTTCTGAAATACTGTTAGCATGGCTGAATCCTCTTCTAAAAGCCTTAGAATCAGGAAAGTGAATTGTGTGTCTGTCTCAAGATACACACCTGAGAATCTGTAGTGCCAGTGGTCAAGTCCTAGAGCCCAAAGGCCAAGAAACCTATAATTCTGATTATTTCCTTTCGTTTTGCCTTTTCTATCTAGGCCCCCAGCTGATTGTATAGTACCCATCAATATGAAGGAAAGTTATTCCCTACTCAGTCTGGTTGCACACACCAATCAAGTTTCCTTTCAGAAACACCCTCATAGACATACCCAGTTCTTTAGGTATTCCTTAACCCAGGCAAGCTGACAGTTAATCTGTAGAGCTCCCAGCCAGCTGTGATAAGAAGTTGGAAAAGAGACTTTAAAGCCCATTTTTGAGTACCATTAAGATAGATGCCCACTCACCACCTGAAGGTTGTGTATCCTAATGACTTAGCATTGCTCTCTTGGGCTGCCAGCTGTGAGGACTGCTTGGGAAGATTCAGCTCCAGGGTCTCAGACTTTTTCCCCTTCTCCATTACAGTTCCTACAATCAATGGATTGCGCCATGTGGTGGTACCTGGAAGGCTGTGTCCACAATTTCTCCAATTAGCCAGTGCTAACACTGCCCGGGGAGTAGAAACGTGTGGAATTCTCTGTGGAAAATTGGTAAAAAAAAAAAAAAAAAAAACTGAACTTGAACTGTTTCTTCCCCCTTGACCTCCTATGAGTCTCAGAGAAGATGTGTCCAGGGACAGTTACTGTGCACCAAGCACTCTATAGAAGGAACCATGGGCTGCATAATGTAGTCACTTTGAATTTGGTGACTCTGTATTTGGTTGCTTTTCAGTGTGCCTTGAACTAATGACTTTAATGCTGTAGTTAGAAACACCTAATTCTAACTTAGGAAGACCCAATCATTATTATTATATTGTGTTCTGAGCACCTATTTTGTAGCAGAATCTGAGAATCTGAAATGGTAGGCACATAGTATATTCAGTTACTTGGAGAAATGGAAGATACACTGAGTAGAATGTATAATATGAGCACTAAAAATTTTGAGGCAGTAAAGGTCATTGGATGAAGGCACTGGAACTCATTCCTAAACAGCTGCATCAAAGAATGAAATGGAATAGACTTCACCTGAGCCTTAAAGGATTAGAAGGACTAAACAGTGAAAAGGAAACTGCTTTAGACATGAACAAAGAAGAAAAATAGTACTTTACCTGGACCTCCTCAAGAACCACAAGTAGACCTGTTTGGATGTAGCCCCTAGGGCTGTGACGATTACCCAGGCTGTGTATCAGATGGAGTTCTGGGATTCTGGGGTCGGTCTCAGGATCAGTCATGGCAATGGACATGAGCAGTTAAGTTTGTGAACTACTGAGGTGGGGGATTCAGAGAGCACAAAGGAAAGTCATGCTGGATAGGAATGACCTTCACATAGATATTTAACTTTACACGGTTAAGAGTGCCAGGGAATTGTGACGATTTGTTTTCTCCTTTGGCAGATGAGGAATGAATTTACCATCACACACGTTCTCATCCCCAAGCAAAGTGCTGGGTCTGATTATTGCAACACAGAAAATGAAGAAGAACTTTTCCTCATACAAGATCAGCAGAATCTCATCACACTGGGCTGGATTCATGTAAGCAAATCTGAGCTCTCAGGATTCATCTCCTCTCATTGTGCTTTCAATACACTGTTTGCTTCTTTCTTTGAACAAAGTAAAACATCTCCAGATTATTTATTTTCCTTCCTTCAGATGAAGTTCTCAGCATATTGACTGTTGATACTCTATTACTGATTTCTGGGAACTACCTAGGGCTTTTTCATTATTAACTTTTTGCTTATTGTTTTTTTTTTCAAATAAAAATAAACTGATTTCTTTAGAATTCCAGTTTCCCTGTGCATGTGAATAGTGTGATAGAGTGCTAACCTAGAATATATTTAGGCATTGGCCCAAGAGACTATACCTACTGTACACAAGTCATGTTCTAAAAGAAATATATAGCAAATGAGCCAAAGAATTCATTCAGATGGTTGCAGCTGGCCTTTTATTAAGCAGTAGATACCTTCATGTCAAACCAGAATCCCCATCAGTGTACACGGTTTTCAAGTGTTTGCATGTCTTATGCATATTTTTTGTACTAGTCAAGTAAAATAGAATTCTTAATTTTTTTCTGTTGTTCTCAACACTTGATTCTCACTGATCAACCTGTTTTTCATACTGTATTGACATCTGTGAAATGCAGACAATACATTAGCTTGTTTCTGGATATGAAAAGATTACATATAGTTGTATGTCAGAACTGACATAGAATTCATCTTTTCTTCAGTTCAATAAACATTTACTGTAGCTCCCCACTATAATAGATAGGATATAGACACTTATATACTATCTGCCAGGGGATATAAATATATGTGTGATCTGATTTTATTCTAAGTGAATAGACAATAAACAACTCTTCACACGAAATCGAGTGTTGAAGAGGGGACTGCAGTATTCAGAGGAAGGAGGGATACCTGCCATGAGAATTTTGACAGATTGAGGGTAGAGTTCTATGTGAAGGGAATGCACTGAGTAGTTTGATTTTCTTGGACTTATGGTTTGCATCAGAAACAATGTAGGTAAGTTTTAGCATGACAATACTGGAGTCTTTCCAGAGGCCCTGCCTGGACTTGGAGAACAATTCTGCATTTTAGTAAGTGGAGAACTCTTACTAAAAATTTTTTGAGCCAGGTGCTATTGGCTCACACCTATAATCCTAGCTACTTAGGAGGCTGAGATCTGAGAATCAGGGTTCAAAGCCAGCCCAGGCAGAAAAGTCCCCATGAGACTTATCTCCAATTAACCACTCAAAAAATGGAAGTGGAGCTGTGGTTCAAAATGGTAGAGTGCTAGCCCTGAGCAAAAGAGCTCAAGGATAGTGTCCAGGCTCTGAGTTTAAGCCCCATGACTACTCAAAAAAAACACTTTTTTAGCAGAACAATGATAAGATCAAAGCCATACTTTAGAAAATTTAGTGTGTTAACTTTAAAATCTAAAGGTAGGTTGAAACAGGAAGCTCATTTAAGGTTAGGGTGGTGATAAAATCTACTAATGATGAAAGCCAGGATAATGGTAGTGTGTTTGGCAAGAAGATGATGAATGTGGGATTTCAGAGGATTCAGGAATGAGTAACACAGGATGATGAGTAAGAGAGTTGATGATGACTCAGATCTTTGGGGCCTGGCTTAAGGGGGTGGCAGTGATCAGCTTTTAAGTATATAACTGGAGGATACAAGGATGACTAACTTTGGAATTGGGGTTCAGTTCTGAGCATGTTGAATTTGAGGTATTTATGAGATATCAGATTATCAGGGTGAGTTTTAAGTCAGTTGGAAGCAAGTCCTCGGGATCAAGGTCAAAGCAAGAAAGAATTCTGAGAGTCTTCTGCATTGACCTGGCCTTGGTAGCCTTGGAAGTGGCAGAGTTGGGAGTAAGACAAAAGATTCACTGGAAACTGGGAAGACAGGCTACCAAGGAAAGTAGTGAATGCAGCTATTGTGAAAAGTGAAAGGTATGTGAGGAAGTGAAGCCCATGTTAGGAGACAGGAGGAGGGTGTAGGACAGTTTCAGGATACTAACTGTGCCATGTGTTAGGTGCTCCAGCATGGTGAAAACTTCAGCCAGCCAAATGGATTTGCTGAAGTCATTGAGGAGCTCACTTTAGTGGGTTGTAGGCCATGATGTGCATAGACTTTAGGGTTTGAAGAGCTGTGGGGTTGTGGCAATACTGAAATGAAGACTACCATCTTAAGGAGCCTGGCTCTGGTGGAATGGGGAGAGGATGGAAGTTTTTGTATCTTGCTTCTTTTGCTCAATCTTTTAGAGGCTTATCTGGATATGTCTGGATATGTTTTATGCCCTGTGAGTCAGTGAAGGAGGAGGATAAGAGCAGGAGTGACAAGATAATATGACAAAAAGAAAGTGCCAAAACAGAAGTACTAAGGGGAGAAAACATCTACTCCTTCCAGTCAGGATTAAAGGAAGGAGATAAAGACACAGAACATCATATCACAGAAGTGAAGAAGATAATAGAAATTTGGGGATAATTACTGTTTAGATCATAGTAGAACTAAGGCACAAATGATTAGATACCTAAGTATCCATGAGGGTCTAGAAAGAAACAAGTTTAGAGCTAAATTGATAGAATTTTAGGGTTTTTTTTTCCCAGCCCCTTGATATTTCTGCACCATATCTTCCATCTTTGGGATTAAAAACAAACGAATAAAAGATGATGACCATAGATTTACTCATATCTTAAAATTTCAAGAGGAGAATGCAAAAGATCAGTACTTCTTTGTACACCTTACAAACTGTAAATCAGCTTCTCTGATCAAAAAGTGTCACATATTGGGGCTGGGAAGGTGGCTCAGTGGTAGAGTGCTTGCCTTGCATGCTTGAGGCCCTGGGTTCGATTCCTCAGCACCACATAAGAAAAAAGAAAAAAGCTGGAAGTGGTACTGTGGCTCAAGTGGTAGAGCGCTAGCCTTGAGCTGAAGAGCTGAGGGACAGCGCCCAGGCCCAGAGTCCAGGCCCCATGACCGGACCCAAAAAAAAAAAAAAAAAGTGTCACGTATTGATCACTCACTGGCAGCTTTCGAGTCGGAGGGCATCTCCCTCTTGCCTTCATCCTTAGTACTCACTGCTCTCTCACCTGACCGCTCTGCTCCTGTCTACACACCTAGACCACCCTCAGCCTTCACTTCTGCATGTTGCTTTCTCTTCCTGAAAGTGCCTACCTCTCTCCCCAACAGAGTAAACATACCCTAACTTCATTCAAGACAGTTGACTGAAGGAAAGAAGGCGAAAAGGCATACGTAGTAGCTGGAGGGAGACCAGGCCAAGGAAAGAGCTTTTGATTCAGTTATTTATTTAGCCCCTTATCTTTCAAGCCATCCAACTGTAGATTTTAGGCATGGATTGGTTTGGGTAGTCCTCAGTTGCTCCCAATTAGAAACCATGGGATGAACTGAGTTGACACAAACCTTTGCTCCCTAGCAGTCCGAAGGATTATTATAATCAGATAGGAACTGCTGGCTCCTGTGGTCTCCAGCATTTTTTCTTGCTCCCAGTGTGCCTGGGTGGATCTGCTGCCAGTATTCTCTTAATAACCTTATGCCTTGATGACCTCTTACATCCTGGTGAGCATGTCTTGAAAAGTGTTCACGCTCATGATGGATATTGTATAGGTGGGGTATAGGAATCAGTGCTTTTCACAACTTTCTCAGGAAACTTTAATTTTTCATGGCTGGTTTCAAAACAATAAGTAATTTCACTAATTTTTTTCTTTTTTTTCTCTCAGTTCAGGTTGATGACTTTTTTTAATCATATCAGGTCTTTTTTCCAGTCTAGTAACCTAAAATTATACCTCCTCTAAGATAACATAAGCCATTCTATAGTTGTTAATTTTGTGTACAAGAATTATACTGAAGGGCTAGGAATGTGGCTTAGTGGTAGAGTGCTTGCCTAGCATGCATGAAGCCCTGGGTTTGACTCCTCAGTACCACATAAACAAAAAGCTGGAAGTGGTAGGTACTATGGCTCAAGTGATAGTGCTAGCCTTGAGCAAAAGAAGCTCAGAGACAGTGTGCAGGTGCTGAGTTCAAGCCCCAGGATTGGCCAAAAAAAAAAATTAAGCAGAGCCCTGATGGTTGCTATAATCCTACATGCTTCAGAGGCTGAGATCTAGAGGATCACCATCTAAGGCCAGCTCAGCAGAAAAGTCTGAGAGACTCAATCTCTACAGAGATGTGTGCCTGTGCTCCCAGCAACTAAAGAAAATCTAAGGGCTGAGATGTAGCTCAGTGGCAAAGCGCTTGCCTAGCAAGTGCAATGTCCTGGGTTCGATCCCTGGTACCAAAAAAGGAAAGACAAAAAAAAAAATCTAAAGTAGGTTAATTATAGTACAAGCATGTGCCAGGGCTGGAAGTGACACCTTATATTAAAAACAACCAACAGGAGCCAGCCTAGGGTGGTTTTGAATTGGAAACTTCTCTCCAGTTTGCCACCAAAAAAGCCAGAAGTGGATCAGTGGTTCAAGCAGTAGCACATTAGCCTTGAGAAAAAAGAAAAAAAAATCAAGGATAGTGCCTGGGATCTAAGTTCAAGCCCTAGGACAGACAACAAAACAAAACAAAACAAAAACAGGACTGGAGTTGTGCTTCAGTTGTAAAGAACTAACCTAACAAGTTTGAGACTGTTCAAGCCCCAGTACAGCCAAGAAATATGCTTTAAAAAAAATTGGGAACAAATGAGAAATGCATTTATTACCTTACTTATGTAATTGTTACCTCTCTGTACATCACCTTGACAATAAAAAAAGAAATATGCTTTTTTTAAAAACCCACAAAATAAATAGTTGGGAACAAATGAGATCAATTATACACTTTGGCGTTGCTTTAACTGATTACCTTCAGCCTCTCTTCTCCTTCCAAGTGATGGACTCTGCTGCATGAATTAATTGGCCTCTGAAATCCCTATCTGCCATATCTTCTTTGGATGCTGCTTTAACAGCAGACCTTTTTCTTTTATGCCAGGAGGAAGACTTATTCATCTGGTTATGGTGTATTAAGTCTGGTTTCCATCATATTGAAATATTAGGAGGCATGTACCATCTGTTCTAGAATGGGTGACTCTTCATCATGTAGAGAGATTGCCAAGAGATAAATACACCTTGATTGTCTTTTAGAAATGATGAAACCGCATCAATCAAAGCCTGAATCTTAGAAAATTTTTTAAAGGAGGCTTTCACAGGGCCACTCTCATGGTATTCTTTCTTGCTGCAGACACACATCTAGATTGTCCATGGACCCCATCATGCTGACCCCACCACCAATAACCCTTCAATCCTTCCAGAGCAGGAAGCAGCAAGCTGTCCCCTCTCCAGTCTCCAAACCTTTGCCAGATATCCATTCCCCTTGCAGTTAGCCTCAGTCATCCCCATGCTCCTGACCTCCACCACACTAGTGTCTCCTGTTATTATCTTTTATCTCACCGGGGACTCTGGTTTCCCCCACCCGCCATGTCTGAGACAGTACTTGGTCTCCATGTTTCTGACTCCTGCAAGGCTCATCTCACCTGTGTGCCTACACTAAGTCTCCACGCCCCTTTCTATATTCGGGTGTCTTGCATATCTTGCTGCTGCGTGAGACGCAGCTCCTGACCTCCTGCGCCTGTCGCCCATGGCGCGCGACATCAGTACCCACGCACATGCGCACGTGAGCCTACTCCACCCAGGGTTACGCACATTATGGGTCTCCTAACCTATTTCCAGGCACCTTGGACTGCAATGGATTCCATGCTAGTCCCCTGAACTACCCATAACCCCAGGGAAACCTTTGCTTGACAGTTGGGATCTATATCTTAATTTACTTTCAAAAAGTCAGAAATCATTTAATTAGAGCATAGCACAGACATGACTTCTGCCTGGTCTAGTTCTACCTTGGACCCAGTTTTTCTCAGGCTTTGTAGTGGTCTTCAAGTTTCAATACTGCACATTAATGTATTTCACACATGGTATTCCTGAGCTCTTCCCTCAAGCCCCCTCCATACCCTATTATTTAATGGCTTCTCATTCATCCTTTGCTTTAATACATCTTCTGCAGCCTAGTTCTCCACCCTCACGCCCCCAAGATTTCCAAAACACACTACATCTAATCAACCAGTGCGATCCGAGTTCCCGTTACAAACAGTCCAGAGAAAAACTTTATTCCTGTGTTTTCTTCCCTTTTTCTCTCTGCCTGTCCTCCCTCTCCCTTCTGTCACCGCCCCCAACCATACACAATGAGTGTTCAGGCTGCCTAACACCTCCACTGTCTTCAGACTGGAAACAGGAAACTTCCACGCTTCTTTTTACTTTTATTCCACACAGGCTTATTAACCTACCAGACCTCTCTCCTTGTGGTCAGATGAGTGAATTGAATGAAAGGTGCTGTGTGATTTGTTATATTGTCTATAACTGTAAGCTGAAGCAGCATGTGCATTTGCCCAGGCTTAGTGATGCCTTGCATTCTATTAGACACAAATCACTCCCACAGCTTCCATTGAATCCAGAAATTACAGTACTGCACAGAACAGCATTTCTGACATATCCAAGAACTGAAGTGGGGGGTGTCCCCACCATACTTGTGTCATCTCACTATTTCTTTCCAGAAAAAAACCCACCTGTTCAATTGCCATTCTGCCTACATCCAGGTTAATTTCATTTCCTCAGTGGCTTTCATCTCCTTCCCCTCTCCAATGGTATTTTTCGCTAGAGAGAACTCTTCCAATGTCCATTGTCCACCTAGTTTTCCAAGTTCTTTTATACTCATATGATGTACAACATGATGCTTTGAAAGAGATATAATTCTGGAATGCTAAATTAAGCTAATTAGCGTGCATCATGTTATATTTTTCTAATTTTTGGTGGCAGGAATACTTAAAAAGCTCCTCTCAGAAATTTGCAAGTATACATTACTTTGAAGTCTATTGTCATGTTGTATAAAAAAAAAATTCTTGAACTACAAGACCTTGACTGTCTTCACATAACCAATACTTGTTCACAGTACTGAAAAGGATTTACTTAGTATGAACTTTACTCCATCTGGTTGCACATAGCTTTGTACTTAAAAGAGATTGGGTCAGTTGTTGAGAACCCTTCAGCTTTGCCTCTCTTCAGGGCCTGGGCATGGCTGATTGTGCTTACTAAGAGTTCTCTGGCTTGTTTTCTCTTTTCAGACTCATCCCACCCAGACTGCCTTCCTCTCCAGTGTTGACCTACACACTCACTGCTCCTACCAGATGATGTTGCCAGAGTCCATAGCCATCGTCTGTTCTCCTAAGTTCCAGGAGTAAGTATATGGGACACGGTCCAGGGTATTATAAGAGAGTAGTAGGGAAAAAAAGCCTTGGAGCAAAAGGCCTTTAATTTTTTTTCTTTATTCTTTTTTTGGTGCAGGTACTAGGGCTTGAACTCAGGGTCTGAGCAGTGTCCCTTAACTTTTTCATTCAAGGCTCTACCACTTAAGCCACAATTTCACCTCCAGCTTTTTGGTAGTTAATTAGAGATAAGAGTCTCACAGACTTTCCTGCCTGAGCTAGCTTTGAACTGCAGTCCTCGAATCTCAGTCTCCTAAATAGCTAGGATTAGAGGCATGAGCCATCAGTGCCCTGCTACCTTTACTGTTGAGCCCTTGTTTCTGTTTTTGTTTTTGAAATATTTTTGTAATATTAATTGGCTACTCTAAAAGGCTTCCTTTAAGCCCCATATTCTGATAAACCTAATTCAGTGTTTTAAAAGATAGCCATGCAAACTCGATCACTAGCTCTGCGTAATGTAGCAGAAGCTAAGGGAACCAGGTTTGGTAAAGTAATTGTGGGAATGTATTTGCCTCAGAAGCAACTGAGGTGGTCCCTCCCATCCGAGAACACAGTAAAAAAATAAATAAATAAAATAAATAAAAGATAGTCAAGTACAACTTGCTTTTCTGAGAAAAATCCTCAAGAAATTTGAGCTATCCAATTTGAAGTGATAGAAATTTCAATAATTTGATGTTGGATTACAGAATTTCAAAATTAAATATATCCTAGATTGTTACTTCTTTTTTATTTCAAATCTAAAGATACTAGGAATTGAACCCAGGGCCTCACACTTGCTGGGCAAATGTTCTACTACTTGAATTAAGTCCCCAGCCTTTTTGTTTTTGAGATAAAGTCTCACTAACTTTGTCTGAGTTTGCCTCAGACTTTTGATCCTCCTCCCTCTGCCTCCTGAGACGCTGGGATAACAGGTATGGTCCACTATACCTGGCTTCATTCCAAATCTAATTATTTACTATTAATTTCCCAGCAAAACTGAGAGACCTATCTCTTCTCTGTAAAGCTGTCTCAAAATTACCTCTGTCTTGCTGTGTGTGTGTGTGTGTGTGTGTGTGTATGTATGTGTGTGTGTGTGTACATGCCAGGATTGTGTGGATCATGTGTGTGTATGCATGCATACACACACATGTGTGTGTTCTACACATGGAAGATCACTTTTACTTGACTCTGAACCTGCCATTTTATTATTTCAGAACAGGATTTTTTAAATTAACTGACCATGGTCTAGAAGAGATTTCCTCTTGTCGACAGAAAGGATTTCATCCACACAGCAAGGATCCACCACTGTTCTGTGTATGTATCTCTTAGAAGGAATGGGGGCTATATTTCAAACAAGAAGGACAGTCATTGCTAACGAGGCACATCATTCTTTCTGCCCCACATAGAAGATCAGCCCTACCACTTATCTTCCTGGAGCTCCATAACAAGAATGTACATGGGAAGAAGAGAGGGATAGAAATAAATTTTCTTTTTACTTTTGTGATGCTAGGGATCTCTAGGATGCTAGGCTTTGCATATACTAGGCAAGTGGTCTACCATTGAGTTATGTCTCCAGCTAGGAATAGATTATACTTTTATCTCTGCCACTTAATAACCACATGAGGAAGTGGCACTGTGGCTCAACTGGTAGAGCGCTCGCCTTGAGCTGACGAGCGCAGGGACAGCACCCAGGCCCAGAGTTCAAGCTCCACAACAGACTAAATAAATAAAGTAACCACATGTCTCTGAGGCTACTTACCCTTCTTGAGTCTGCATCTGTAAAGAGGGGATAATAATAATAACACATACTTTGCAGAGTTGTTGAGAGGTTTAAATAAAGTAGGGCCTGGGGGTATAGTTTAGTGGTAAAACATGGACATAGCAGACACAAGACTTTTGGTTCAATTCCCAGTACCACACCAAAATAAAGAAATACAAGTACAGAAAGTATCTACTGCAATAGCTGGTTTGTTAAATGTAAGGTTGTTTTCAGTTGTTGGTTTGGTTTGGTTCTTTTGCCAATACTGGGGCTTAACTCAAGGCCAGGGCATTCTCTCTTAGCTTTTCACTCAAGGCTGGTTCTCTACCACTTGAGCTCCACTCCTGGATTTTTGCTAGTTAATTGGAGATACGAGTCTCATAGACTTTTCTGTCCTGGATGACTTTGAACTACGATCCTCAGCTCTCAGCCTCCTCAGTAGCTATGATTACGATATGCGCCACTGGCACCTGGCTAACTGTAGTGTTCATTGCTAAGTTTATTCTTCAGAAAGAGATTTCATTGCAGAGGAAAAAAGCCACATAGGATAAGCAAATTGAGTACATTTGATCTGAAATTGTGCTTAGATAATAGGGATTTTATGACCTTCCTCGGAAGTTGGGATTTTCCAAGTTGAGGATAAGATCAGTGTATTTCAATTTGCCCTTGAGATCTCAAGCAATAATACTGCTTTACTCCACACTGGCCTGCAGTTGGTTACTATTTCTTTGGGCTCAGAGAAAAAGTGAGAAACATGGAAAAGAGACTCCAAACCCTGTCACTTAAAAGTAACAGGGAGTATTTCAAAGAGAAACTCTAGGACAAATCTGAGTTGACCTCAAGTGGTAGGACAGCTGATGTATAACCAAGTATTGGATGTCCCTCATGCCAGCCCCAGCACTAAACTGAGACCTCCAAAAATGACTGTTGTCAGCTGACTGTCAGGAAGAACTTTCTGATAGATCTGTTTAAAAATAGATTGGTCTATCTTAGGATATTCTATATGTCTCAGTACCAGGGTGTTGAAATACTGACTATACAATCAGAAAAAATATATCTTGGCACACCAACACTGGTTTCTAGTTATGAAGATCCTTCTGTGCCAAAAGTGAGAAATAGTAGGTGACCTTTATAGAATGACCCTCATTCATCTTTTTTAATGTGTATTTTACAAATGACTCTAGAGTATAGATGCATTTGAAAAATAAAAGATATATGGGCAGATGTTGATTGAGTCTGTGAACAGGGTTGGTGGGGGTGATACTTTCCAGACATATTACTATAATTGTCATTTAGATGGTGATCTGGCTTCCAAACTTAGAACTACTAGTTTTGAAATAAAGGATTTTATATAATGGATTTTCAGGCCAGGAGCTGGTGGTTCACACCTATAATCCTAGCTACTCAGGAGGCTGAGATCTAAGGGTCACTGTTCAAAGCCAGCCTGGGTAGAAAAGTCCTTGAGACTCTTATCTCCAATTCACCACCAGAAAACCAGAAGTGGAGTCTTGCCTTAAAGTGGTAGAGTGCTAGCCTTGAGCAAAAGAGCTCAGGAACAGCACCCAGGACCTACAACCAAAAAAAAAAAAAAAAAACCTCAGAATTTTCCACAATTTCACCTTTCTTTTTCTCCATTGCAGAACTGTAATCACGTGACCGTTGTGGACCGTGCAGTGACTATCACAGATCTTCGATAAATTTGACCGACCAAGAACTACAAAACCATATCAGTGTACCATCACCCCTTATTTAAGCTTTCTGGAAAGCTTTAGAAGTTTTTTAAGACAGAATAGGAAAGAAGGTACCTAGTGAAGAGCTCTTTTTTTATTTCTGGTTTGAAAAGAAATCAATGAATATATATTTAAGGCAAATCTACAAAAGAGTGAGCATGATTATACTAAAGCAATTAACTCAAAAATTAAGTCAAAAGAATGGTATAGTGAATACCTATACACCCTTCTTTCTAAATTCACCAACTATTAACCTATTTTTTTCTCTCCCCTGTCTTCTAATTTATCTACCAACTTGTTTATTGTCTGCCTTTGAACTGGATTGCCTTTGATTAATGACAATATTAATGGAGCTTATGATGAGGGTGAGGGACAGCTTACTGCATTGAGATGGTCATGAGACTCACAACCCTAAAGAATGAATTATGTTATTTAACAAATGTTTCAGGATATTTTTTCCCTACAATAAAAGAACAATTAACTTATTTTGTTTTGCTCGAGAGTGATTCATTTAATTATGCATCACATAAACAAATTAAATGAAAGGTCTGGTTGTTCTGGGAGACGTGAGGGTAAATAGAAGTGAAGAAGTAGTGAAACTGGAGGGGTATCCAGGTTCACTTTTAGTTATTCACTGTTTTTTCTCTTCATGCAGTCACCTCTGTTCTTTTTGGTATTGTCTCCAGTGGGTCATCCCACTGATTCCTCCTTTGCCCCACAAGATTTCAGCCTAGAGGAATCTTTGGAGCACAGGTTGCACTCTGAGAAAATGGTTCCATTTAGCCATCTACCCTACTCATTTCATTGATGAGCAACATCTAGGAAGGTGTGGGAAGCTGTAGTTGATACTACATTTTTTTTCTTATTATGAGCTGAGCCTGGTGTGCTGAGGTGGCTTAGAAATCCTGGTGGTATTTTTGACACTTCACATGAGGGCATGAGAGACACATTAGATCAAATGATTTCTTTCTATAATCAGGATCCAGAAGTAGAGTCTACATGTTTATGCTTCATTTTAAAGTTTTGTTTTGTTTTGTGCCAGTACTGGGGCTTCAATTTAGGACCTAGAGCTCTCACTTAGCTTTTTCACTCTAGACTGGCACTCTACCACTTGAGCCAAAGCTCTACTTCTGACTTTTTGGTGGTTAATTGGAGATAAGAGTCTTTTCTGTCTGGGCTGACTTCAAAGCAGGATCTTTAGAATTACAGGTGTGAACCCCTGGTGCCTGGCCCATTTCAAAGTTTGTATGTCCCATCTTTGTTGCCTAGGTGAGTTGTCCTTGAATCTGTTCCCTGAAAGAGCATTATATCCTTTTTCTTAAAGTCTTAACTTAATATATTAGAAATTCTTTCTTCTCCAGTATTTGGTACACACAAAATGGGACAAGATAAGTAGATTGGATCAGGGGAAGATGATTGCCTTCTGGGACGGAGGCATAGGCCCCTGACTGTTCCTTCTTGCCCTAGTCAATCCTGAAGCTGTCTAGACCTGTGCTTTCCAGGAAATCCATCCCCTTTTTCCACCCTCCAGGCCACTACTTGATCTAGAGCTCTATTATCTTTAACTTGAACTATTGCTTTAGACTTTCACCAGGTCTTTGTTTTAGATGGCATTTAGTGAGCATTTTTGTTTTCATTGCAATCTGCTCTATACATTACCATCTTCCTCATATTTTATCACTTGGTCAGAAACCTGCAATGACTTTCTATTGCCTAAAATCCCAATTAGCTTTCATTGAGAACTTTGCACTTAAAACCACATAAATTTCTTTCTCCTGACTACACATTTAAATGTCTGGGGAACTTTTTAAAGAGATCTTAATGCCTGTGCCCCACCCCAGTCCAATTAAATCCAAATCTCTGGGTTGGGTCCCCAGACATTGTTTTTGTTCTGTTTCATTTAACTTTGTTTTTTAAAGCTGCTAGGATTCTCTAGTGAGCCAGGCTTGAAAAACACTGCACTAGTCATGTTTATTCAGCCCAAATGAATTGAATATACCATATGAAGTAGCCATATCGATCACCAACTGATCACCAGACTGCCATATTTTCCTGTCTCTGCCATTATGTATAAGATATGGTAGTGGCTAAATGGGTACAGGAAAGTAGTCTGCACCTGCTACTGTCTGGTCACCCAGAAGCAATCTACGATTGTTTCATTGTCTTTTTACTTTCCCCTGGAGGGAGAGATGAGGGAGCAATCAGCCTATGAAAAAGCAAGAAGACTAAGTAAGATGGAAAAGAGAAGGAACTAGAGTTGTAGGGGAAGAAGAAAAGGAATATTGTGAATAAAAGAGACACAGACTATAGAATGGAAGGACAAATGTCTACACTGAAAGCAAAAGAGCTAAAGTTACACCTGGGTTTCTGAGTCTCAAAGGCCAGCAGCCTTTTCTGCCCTCCTTAGCTGCCTCTTAAGTAGTCTGGGTTGTGAGGAGCATCAGAGGCTAGTGTTATAGCTGCTTCCAGAGGATCACTCCAACTTGATGCAGGCCAGTGCAGGGACTGTGAAGTTACTGCTCTCCTGGAGACAGAGCAAGGCTGTCTTGTTCAGGTGATCCCTTACACAAACTCCTAAATGGAAGCAAAGAGGAAGAAGAAAGCCTTGAGCCTTGCAATGCTCTGGAAGATACCAAACACCTTAAAAGGCAGTGTGTGAGAAGCATTCCTTTAGTGGGGCCAGTGTTGGGGTGGCTGTTCCTTGCTTGAGCAGCAAAATTCCAACTTTCATTTATGTACCACAAAATTCAAAATCATAAGCACTTAACCCCCTTTGACTGTTAATGGCGTCTTCTGGCTGTCACTTTCCCCAGGAGGAGACTTTCAGATAGAAGATGAGGGACTGCTGAAGACAGATCTTAATGAGTCAAAGTTCAGTGAATCTTGCAAGTCCAGTCTGTTTGCAATCAATTTCAAGAACAGTTTTAGGTCTCAGCCACAAGTGGTTCCCTAGAAAATAGTTTGTCAATCGTTGGCGTTATGTGGCCCACCCCTCATATCTCCCTGTTTTAACCCCTACTACGTGTGGAGGCAAGTTTGTCTAAGGATTTTTGAAGTGAGTTTCTGAGTTAAGGCTCATTTCATCTGTGAGGAGCTTTGCCTGCAGCACTGCTCAGGCCTGTTTGGTTCAGGTCCATTGGAACCTTCGCTGGCAAGGAAGTACCAGACTGAACACTGAGGACTTTGTTCCTAGGTCTAGCTCAAAGGCTCAAATGATAAAGGATTGGCTACCAATGTTAGCACTACTGGTGGAATCTTTAAGAGGTTGGGCTTAATAAAAGGAAGTTACAGATGGGCCTCAGTGGCTCAAGCATATAATCCCAGCTAGTTAAGAGGGTGAGATTTGAGGATCATGGTTCACAGCCACCTAGGCAAGAAAGTCCATGGGACTCTAATCTCCAATTAATTATCAAGAAAAGCCAGCCAGAAGTGGAGCTCTGGCTCAAGAGGTAGTACACCAGCCTTGAGGAAAACACACACACACACACACACACACACACACACACACACACACACACACACACCACTTTGGGACAGCATCTAGCATTCAGTCCCTGAGTTCAAGCCCCAAGACAGCACCAAAAACAAAAGGGCATGCCCCTGAAGAGGGTATTGGAACCCTAGCTCTTTCTTTCTCTCTATTTCACTGCCACCATAAAGTAAACAGCTTTGTTCAACACATGCTTCCTGCCACAATTCAGCCTTACAACAAGCCCAATAAAGCAACTGAGACAACTGACCATGATCTGAAGCCTCTAGAACGTTGGGTGAAAAAGAAGTCTTTCTCCTTTTCAGTTGTTTATCTTAGCTGTTTGGTCACCACAGTGACTAACACAAAAGGTTCTGTTTTAGAAGACAGAAAGAGGAAAGACAATGAGAAAATAAAAAACCATACATAGAATCACTCTAATTTTATTTAAAAGTGAATGATGCTGCAACATTCCAAATTAAAATTCTAGAATTTCTGTAAACTGTACAGAGAAGGAATGTAAGAACTTTAAATATTTTGATTATCTAGTGAAAAAGAATCAAATTAAGCCAGGTGCTGGTGGCTCACACTGTAATCCTAGCAATTCATAAAACTGAAATCTCATTATCCTGGCTCAAAGACAACCTGAACAGGAAGGTTCATGACGCTCTTATCTCTAATTAACCAACAAAATGATGGAAATGAAGGTATGGCTCAAGTGTAAAAGCTTAGTGGCAGTGCCCAGGCTGAGTTCAAGTCCCAATACCAGTCAAAAACAACAACAACAACAAATCATCTGTTTTGCAACTTGTGACAGTATTCCTTTCCATTCTGGGTTAACTGACTCCACAGTCCATAATGGATCAAAGTAACCTTGTCCTTAGAGAATAATGATTAAAAGAAAGCTGCTAACATAGGACATCACAGAAAACAGTCAACATTAACAAATGAGAAGCCAGGCTCCTGTAGCTCATGCCTGTAATTCTAGCTTCTCAGGAGGCTGAGATCTGAGGATCACAGTTCAAAGCCAGCCCAGGCAGGAAAGTCCATGAGACTCCTATCTCCAAATAATCACCAGAAAATGGAAGTGGTCCTGTGGTTCAAGTGGTAGAGTGCTCCCTTGAGCTGAAGAGCTGAGGGACGGTGCCCAGGCCCAGAGTTCAAGACTCATGACTGACAAACACACACACACACACACACACACAAATGAGAATAAGAGTCTATCATTTAAAAACATACTTTAAGATGAAAATCAACATTTACTTTCATTTGTCTTATGCTTCCATAATAAATTAGGAAATAACACTCATTAACATTTCAAAAATGTATTTCTATTATTCTTTTTTATGTGCCAATGCTGGTACTCTACCACTTTGAGTCATACCTCTAGTCTGACATTTTACTGGGTATTTTTGGAGATAGAGTCTCTCCAAATTTTTTTTCTTTTTTGCCAAGGCTAGATTCAAATCTCAATCTTCTGATCTCAGCCTCCTGATTTCCTGAGTAGCTAGAATTACAGGCGACCATTTTTTGTTGGTGGTGGTTGTGGGGCTTGAATTTGGGACCTGGCACTGCCTCTGAGCTATTGTACTCAAGGCTAGTGTGCTACCACTTTGAGCCACAGCACCACTTCTAGTTTCCTGGTGATTACTTGGAGTTAAGAGTCTCACAGAATTTCCTGGCTTCCAACCATGATCCTTAGACTTCAGCCTGCTGAGTAGCTAGTATTACAGGCATGAGCCACCAGCACCTGGCTCTTTGACCCTTCTTAATAAGCAAATAATATTATCAAGACAAGATAGACTCATTTTAACTACTAACAATATCCTAAAAGACAATGTCACAATAAA